CGCTTGAAACGTCTTCGCCCTTCGAGGCTCAACTCCTGGTTTCGATGTTTATCGTCATGACTTCTCATCATTCACCCCCCCCCCCCCCCGCACCAGTCGCGTTTTTTCCCATCTTTCCCGAAAAGCACAAGTGATGAGTCTTTCCTGGAGGCACGCTCTTTATCCGACAAAAATAAGCCGCCTTGCATGCCGGTCAGGCTTTTGTGTTTTGGCCGGGACATTCTCTCCTCCTGATTCGTTTCTTTCGCCGCTCATTCGATAGCGGCGGGAAGCCGCCACGCTATTAGCCGCGCGCTATTATTTGTCCATTACGTATAATTACCCATCCCGATGACTGATGGAATGTTCTCGAAGGCCGAGTTGGCAAGTAGTCGGGCTGATCCTGCCGAGGACTTTATTTAATTACCCGGCCATTAAACTCGGCTCGGGAGGAAGACGGCACAAGAGGCAACTTGTGACTGGTTTGTTTGTACCCACTCGGGCATTGTGCCCTCCCTTGTTTTTGTGTTTTTTTTTGTTTGTTGTTTTTGATTGGTTCTTCAGTTCAAAGGCCAAAAACCCAGATCTAATCCAACTTAATCCAGGATGAAAGTTATGCAGTTGTCTGCATGCATGAAAAGCCGCGAAGACATCCACATCGTCATTTCCACCCATTTTATCGACAAAATTAGCCAAAGCTCGCCAATAGAGCACTTTTAAAACAACGCAGATGATTTGCTCTGGCGGGGCCACGTAAAATGACGTGGCGGGCCGGATTTGGCCCCCGGGCCTTGAGTTTAACACCTGTGCATGAAATAATGCGATGTAATGCTAACGTGAGGCCGAGTTATTCTACGTGCTAAGATAGCCAGGCGTCGAACCGTAACAGGTTGGTGTCACTGTCACGGTTCCTGTTCCAGCTGGATATCGATTCCCTGGCTCGCCTTCGCCGTCTCGATCCACCTCGGTCTAGCGATTGAAATTACGGTTTTGAATGCGATGTAATGCTAACGTGAGGTCGAGTTCTTCGACGTGCTAAAATAGACAGGCGTCGAACCATAACAGGTTGGCGTCACTGTCGCGGTTCCTGTTCCAGCTGGATATCGATTCCCTGGCTCGCCTTCGCCGTCTCGATCCACCTCGGATTGCCCCTGACGTGGCGAATTGAGCGGGCGCCGCTTCGTCTTTGTGCAGGCAGCAACGGGATGTTAACACGTGACGTCGCCTGTGGTCGGTGTGTGTCGGTGGTGCTTTTTCGCCGTTGTTGCCGCTATCTGTCCCATCGCGGGCATCCAATCTCCTCTTCCTTCCCTGGTCTGCTTTATCGCTTGGCCATTATAAACTCCAGCCGGCTCCTCTTCTTTGGCTTGCCGGGCTTTACATCAACCTCGTGATAAAGTTCCTTGTCCTTTTTTTTTGTCTTTTTTTGTTAGTTTTTTTTAGGGAGACGATAGGTTACTTTGAGCGCACAAACCAGAGATAAAGTGGTTTCAAGCCAGGGTTAGGGTTTAAATTTTAAGGTTGAAAAATAAGGGTATAGAGTTTCAAAGAAGAGTCTAGGGATTGAAATTACGGTTTCGAAACACGAGTACTGCTTTTTAAATTAGGTTAGACTTTTCTGGGACAGCGGTTACTGCAGTGGACAGGTTTCAAACAAGGATTGGAAATTCACAGAAGTGTTTCAGGTCAGGGTTAGGGTTGGAAATTCTGAGTGCAAATTCGAATTTTGAGCACTGGGTAGGGTATCAAAATTTTTAGGGTTTCAGGTTGAAACCCTGCCTCAAGCGTTCGAAGTAGTGTTGAAAGACGGTTTAAAACAAGGATGTGCGGTGATGGTTTCAATTTTTTTAGGCGTCAAATTATGGTTTGGAATTCGGGTTTCAAGACTGGCTACGGTTTCAAATTAAGATTTGTTCGTATAAGATTATCGAGCCTGGTTTCGAGTTTCGAGCACTTGTTAGTGTTGCAAATTAGCATTTCAAAGATGAGTTAGGCTATCAGATTCGAATGTCTGTCAAGACAAATTTTCAATTAGGGTTTCATGAATTGACGACAACTGTTTGCTTATTGTGTTTTCTGTTCCTTGACGCCCAGCCTCTGTCCAGACAGGGGCGTGGGGAAGAAAAATAAAGCATGACATAAGGCATTGTGTGCCTGGCTCAATGCTGGCTGTGTTGTTTGTCTCATGCCTGTGTTGTGAAGCGCAAAATGGCAGCCACACCCCTCTTCTGTGGAGTCAATACTTATTTACTAGTTACTTGGCAACCTTGTCATGTTGTTTTTTTGGGGGGTGTTTCTGTTAAAAAAAATTTTTTTTAAAAATCACTGGAAACATTGAATTTTTTTTTTTTTTTTGCCATTCTAGTTAGATCATGCAAGGCTAATTGATCCACTGGTGAAGTATGACATTTGTTTTCTGAAATTAGGATCTCAAACTTGGTTTAGGGTTTCAACCTACTTTTGAATGTGGAAACCAGAGCAGAAGTATAACGTGCCGACGACGAACAAATAATACCGTCTGATTGCGAGACCGAAGGGTGGAGGGGGACAAGTTGGCGGTGGTGCAAGATTCAACAAGTCGCACCAGGCCGGCGAGCTGACAGCGGCACGGCGACGCTGCCAGGAAACAAATCAGCAGGCTCCTGTGTTTACACACCAAGGCCTATGGTGGTTCACCAAAAAAAAGAACCCGGCAGGCAGAGCATGTCTCGTTGTTACTGACAGAAAACGTTACGGCTATTAGCAGAGTACAAACCACCAATAATGTCCAAATAAACCGGGAAAAATATAAATACAATATTTGCAGACATTCGCATATTACAACATAAGACAAAGAAAAGGAAATTCGAACATCTCACTCCACCACCAGAACAAAAAAAATCAGCAAAAAATTGTCCAATTACTGTGTAAAAAGCGGGCTTGGCTCTTGATACTGTTCTTGCTTACAATAGTGGGCGTGTCCAACACCGGTGACACGAGCGGGGGCAAAAAAAATAAAAAATGCAACTCATGTCAGCTGTGCTGTCTGCTTTGTGTGACATAAAAATCTTCTTCCCTCACAAACCAATTTTATTTCTTCTATATTGGCCACTGAAGAAGACATTTGTGGATGCATACATATTTATGGACTCAAAACTTTTGTCCCCAAATCTTGGGATGCCACAAATTTTTGGATGCACATTTTTGGAGATGAAGCTTTTGATGAGGAATGTTCGATACCATTTTTTTTTTTTTTTTTTTACTCTTTGAGTCCTCACTGATAAATAGTGCCCAGACCTCTAGTTCTTAGATTAAAATTTTAATTTAATACAATGAAAAAAAATGGGAACACTTTTTTTCTGACACAGATGAAGATTCACTGGCAGAGCAAGATTTTTTTATTAATTTTTTTTTGCCTTAAATATCTATTGTATGGTATCAGCAGCTACCAAGAGTACTCGATACCTTAAAATCAAGCCAGGATCAGCCCGTACTCGCCCATCCCTACTTTTGACCCGAATATTTTGGGATGTAAATTGTTTTTTGCCACACTTCTGGAAGTCTCGCTCACTTCACCCTTGCCTGTAAAGTTGCATATTTTTTTGGTGGGTGCATTCCCAGCCTGTGGTAACGCTGCGCATAAAACCACTCGTTCCCTCGTTTGTGATTTCTCACTGCGATCTTACAAGAAGACGACAACGTCCAACTTCCTCCCAGCATTCCAGTCCCGAGTCCCGTGTATCTCCCCGGGCCACTGATGTTTCCTTTTTTTATTTCCTGACTGATTTACACCAAACGCGGTGTTCTTGGCGTTTGTGCGTGACACGCCTGACGCTATACGGTGTCGTCTTGGGGAACCTCAAATCCTAATTAGCTGCACTGATGAGGCGGAATGGACGGCTCGCGTAACCCGAGATGAAAAGAGCCGTGCAGACTGTGAGGGGGCTGAAGGGGGGGAAATTTGACGGATTGAGTCTGGAAGTGACGAGCCGCGGAGGCTCAAAACGAGCGCCAAAGTCGACGCAGAGGAGAAACTTTAAATGAAGGGATCGTCTGCAGGAATATTTTCTCTTATTCTGCAATCTCTCGTTGTATTAGCAGTTCTTGTGTTGGTGGCACCGAAAAGGATGTGCTTCTGCTATCGCTGATGCTCATCTTCATTCATGCGGAAAAGTACTCACAATACAATTCTCTCTTAGTTTTTCACACTGTGAAGACTAAAATTGATTGCACTGACTGTTTTGTCCACAAATTTGGGGACGGAAATTTTTGTGCCCAAATTTTTGGTGACTCCGTCTTAGAATGCGGACACTGTCGCCCATTTTGTTTATTTTTTGACGCACAGTAATTCTGCTTAGTCATTTTTACTGCAAATACATCTATTAGTTGCACTGCGAAATAAATATTCTTAGTTTTTTTTCCACAAATTTGGGGACAGAAATTTTTGGATGCAGACATTTGCCAATTTTTTTTCCCTCAATTTTTTGGGGACAAACTTTTGCCCACCAAATTTTACAATATAAAAAAAATTTTGTCCCAATATTGTGGGATGCAAGCTTTTCACCACCATTTTTTTTATGTATTCAATCTTTTGCCCCCAACTTTTTGTCTTTTGTCCATTCATTTTTAGACACACATTTTTGGACATATGCTTTTGTGCCCCCATTTTTTTGCTCCCAAATTTTTGTTTCCAAAGATTGTCGCAAACTTTTGTCCACCAATTTTTAGAGGCACAATTTTAGGTGTAACATTGATTCCACAAATTCTTGAACTTTTTACCTGCAGATTTTTGGCCACACGATTTTTGGACTTCCTTTCTTACATCAACAGCAGCAGTACTTTTCTATGCATAATAATAACTGTGGGCGGAGGAGTGGAAGCAATTAATAATGAATTGATCGTTAATTGCCCTGAGGCATGCATAATAAATGCACTCAGCAGGGGTAGCGAGAGCCACCCCAGGACGGGCATTCCTTCCTGTTTCTATTTTTATCTCCGTCAAGGATGCTAAATACAGGACTAACTTGACCTTTCATTTTCAGATCACAACGCTGATCAACCACAAAGAGCGTCCCAGGAAGTCTGAACGCACCTTGGCGGCCATCCAGCGCGTGGGCCAGGCGGTCAGCGTGGCGGTGGGCCGCTTTGTTGCCGTCGGGGAGGCCATCGCTCTCGAGAACCACGAGCTCAAGGAGGAGATGGGACACGCCTGCTTCGAGGCACGTCGCGCCGGTAAGTTTTTTTTTTGGGAGGGATTTGAGAAAAGAGCCCTGACCACCAAAGTATTGGAAAACAACTCCTTTATTATACCTTATCTGTCCTGCAGGGGACGCCATAGCTAAGCTGACCGACGTGGGCCCGGCCTGCGGTCCCCCTTCACCCTCGGTGACCGTGTTCAGCGATCGCACGGGCATGGTGAAGGCCGCCCGTCTGCTGCTGTCGTCCGTCACCAAAGTTTTGGTATTGGCCGACCGCATCGTCATCAAGCAGATCGTGGCGTCGCGCAACAAGGTGAAACCCTACACCCCTTCCAAAACAAAACACGCAATACTGTCAAAAGAAACAATGTGTATTTAAAACAACCACAAAGATTTGCCATTTTAATTGCCAATTTATTGACTGTCCTATGGTGTTCCACAAGGTTCAATTTTGGGGCCCCTGCTGTTTTCCTTCCATTTGCTCCCCCGTTTCCATTTTACTTCACTGGCTCCGTGCACATTTTAGAGTTCATTTTAAGATTTTTATTTGTCTTTAAATAATCTCACCCCACCTTACCTCTCTGAGGTCCTCCACCCTCCACACAAACCTGACCTGGCGCCTCAGGTCAGCAGACCAGACACTACTGGCGCTACCGAGGACTAGGTGGAGGTTCAGAAAGGATCAAGGTTTTTCAGTTGCCGGTCCCCCTCTTTGGAATGACCTCCCGGTAAATGTTAGGCAAGCTCCGTCTCTGTCCAACTTTTAAACTCTTCTGAAAGCACGTTTTTATTACTATGCTTTCCACTCAGCATGAGACTCGGCATTGTTTTAGTGCTTTATTGTGTTTACTGTTTTCCTGTTCTTAATTTATAGTTTTTTTGTTTTTATGTCTCTTTTTTACGTGACATACTGCATTTTGTATGTAGCTGTGGTTTCTTTTCAAGTGCTCCGTAAATTAAGTTGAGTTGAGTCATGAATGGCTCCACGAGCTTCATGCTCATAATAGAAAGCGGCAAAAAATAGCATCACCATCGCAGCAATTATAATCCTTCGAGCAACGGATGTTTGGAAACGAGCTGTGTAGCAACACAGGTAGACAGGCAATCTAACAATATTCGCAGAAGGTAATTGTTTCTCTCTTGTGCCAGGTCCTGGTGACGCTGGAGCATCTGGAACGCGTGAGCACCTTTCAGGAGTTTGTGCAGATCTTCAGCCAGTTTGGCAATGAGATGGTGGACTTTGCCCACCTCACCGGCGACCGACAGAACGTGAGTCGAGAGTAAACAACTGTTCTAGTCGGCTTTTCCCAACATTTTGTGTACATGGTGTACAATTTGTTTGGTTTTTTTTTTCCAACTGCACTTGATGTCCCACTCATTCTATTTTCATGCCTTTATTTTTGTTAATGTTGATTTTTGTATATGCGCATGTCGTCTTCCCCTTTGGAGAAGCTTGCACCTTTTATTAGTTGCAGCTAAGCGAGCGAGCGCAGAGGGGCAAATAACGGATAATTATGTTGTCTTTGTGCTAAATTGCCGAGGGAGCGCTTTGACTCTTTCTTTGTCTCTTTCCCAAATCTTCCTCATGCTCGTTTCTGTTTTGGGAGGTGCACTTTATGTCCCGCTCATTCTATTTTCATGCCTTTATTTTTGTTAATGTTGATTTTTTTTTCTTTCAGCTAATGTCCCTTTATAGTAGCATGAAAGAGAGTTGGAAGGAGCTGGATGGAGTCAAGCCACTTTTTGCCATCTGCTGTGTGTTTGCAATCATTTGAGTGTGTCTGTGTGTGTTGGATTGTGGATGTGGGTGTCTGTGTGTGCAATTGTGTATTTGCATGTGTTCCTGCATCGGGCCGAGTTAAAAAATAAATAAATAAAAAATAAAAAATAATATTAAAAAAAAAACATATATGAATTGATGTTCCTTTTCATAGCTCAATGTCCACTCATAAAAGCAAAATTCACTCCTTTCATCACGTCGCACGGCTCTGTTATGAACTCCCCTCAGGTTTGTTCAAAGTGTGATCAAATTTGTACACTGCGAAAGAAAATGATAGACAGATTACGGTAAAAGTTGTGTGGCCTAACCTTGAGAGGGTAGAGCCGTCCATCAGGATAAGCTAATTGTCCCGTTCCCAGCGATGGTGTGGGGGATCTCCGCTAGCCAAACAAATGGCAGATGAGGGTCGCACTGGGGCAAAAAAAAAAGA